TGTATTTGCATTTCAAATAAGGCCCTCAGCTTCCCAGATGGGGGAGTCCCTCTTGTTCCAGTCTCTGCTTTCTCACTTTATATCTAGCTGGGCCTTCAGACCCTGGTCACTGATCAGTGAACAAGTGCGCCGCATGTAATGCTGCTGGGACTTCCTTAGCGTACACTCAATACAGAATCCAAGTAAATCCTTTTTTCTTTGGCACTTTGGCCATTGGGTAAGTCGATTTCTCAGCCGTACCTGGTATGTGTGTCAGTATTGTGGGTGCCAGTGACTAGGATCCACCCTCATTTGGATTTTTTAGGGGATTTTTCCATATCCTTCTGGAAGGCCCAAGAATTCCCATTTGTCTTAGCTTCACCTTCCTCAACCGTCTTTGAGACACCATGTCATGGGTTTAACCCTCAGCCATCTAGCCTTAACTCAACTTCCCAGTCAATGCCACACTTCATTTGATTGGGAGAAGAAGGCTAATTGGGCCCAGACTTACCTGGTTTTTCGTCCTTCTCCCCTAAAAGTGCTCAACTTTCACTAATGAAATAGGTAGACACCAGCAGCAAGATGTGTGTTCTGAAATCAGCTTGGGAACAAGGAAGTCACCTCACTGATCAGCTTATGGATGTAAGCTATCGAAACAGATTAGTGATGTCCTTGGTAAAGGAGATTGTTTCTTCTTTTGGGATTTAACTCCTGCATTAATTGATCATCAGCCTCCTTACTTTTCAATGTTTCCCAACCACTGGCAATATTATTGGGTGCCACCAGATGGTGCTGTTACAGATAGCCTTACAAGCTCTAGTTAACAGAAAGTATAGCTAGTTATATACTGCAGAAGAAATGCTTATCGTTAGTGGTGGTACAATTCTTTTTAGCAGCTGTGTGTAGCACCAGTGAAGGTGCAGAGCTGCTGGCTACAGGTTATACTCATGCAAACAAACTAAGCTATCATATGGTGTCAACGCATTACATGCCCCCTTTGGGAAAAGTCTATTGTCAAGCAGCAGATAAAGAATGTTTCGACTGGGATTTTGTCATTGAAATGGGTTGTAAATATTCTTTGCGCTCAGAGGAAGAGTTCCATGTTCTGAAGCGAGTAGTGTGTCTGTTTTTTTGCAAAGTGGCTGCTAAACTACATTATATAGTTGCTAGAGGTGGCATTGTGCTCTGGCTTGCCCCCTTACCCCCCCTCCCCCCATAACTCCCAAGTAGGCGGCAAACTGGTGGCAAGAGGGATGAGGCCGTATCACATGCTATTAGCTATTCCGACTTTCATTGCAATGCATGGACATCACCGGGGTGATTGCTGTAGTTACACTGGGAGCCTTAATGGTCCCTACAGCAGCCACATTTATGTATCCTCCACCTTCACCTTCTGTGCTACACTTTCTGGAGGCACAGCACAGACGCTGCCCTCCAGATGTTTTACGCCTATCATGCTGGTCCTGTTGTTTTAGTTGTTTATTTTGCCTGTATGTTACATTGGAAATCCAGGTCATGTCTACCCTTTTTGCATGAAAAATTCTATGGATGACTAGAGAATGGGTAGGTTAGTGATCTCACCCATACTAAGCAAGTCCATCCCGATTGAGGGGGCTGTGATTGTTATTCAGACTTTAAAATATCCTTTTGGTTTGGTTTTGATAACTTCTATTTAACTCCAGCACTTGCCAAATCGTGAGCGTAATACATGTCTTGTTAAAGATGCTACACTCTCTGCCATCAATCAATCAAGGGTTGAAAGAGCTCTCACTCCATAGCTCTGGGCCCTCCAAGGGACACTGCTAGCAAAACAGGTATGACAAGACATAAGGCTCCTGATATTTCTAAGGTTAAAAATACAATCACCCCCTAGTCTTTTAATACCTTGTTCATGACTTCAGAAAGAAACGGCAATTACTCATTTTTGTCCTTTCTAGGTCATCTTTAAGGAATCCTTTATATGAAAACAAATCTAAAACCATACATGTAGCTACAGAAAATCCATCATTTTGGTGGTTTCTGTACTTGAGATTCAGCCATCAGTAGCCAGCAATGCAAATGAGGTAAGTTGCACTCCCCATCTGTTTGAAAGTGCAATATAACGTTCCTGGGTGAGTCATCAGCAGTGGGGATTGAACCCTGGACTTCTAAATCTTAAAGCATAAGCTGCTGCACCTTGTGCCTAAAGAGATGTTTCTGTTAGCTGATGCTATATAATATAAGAACAGCCATACTGGGTCAGACCAATGGTCCATCTAGCCCAGTACCCTGCCTTCTGACAGTGCCAATGCCAGATGCATCAGAGGGAGTGAATAGAACAGGGCAATTTTGAGTGATCTATCCCCTGTCATCCAATCCCAGATTCTGGCAGTTGGAAGTTTAGGAACACAAGGAACATGGGCTTGCGTCCCTGATCATTTTGGCTAATAGCTGTTGATAGAGATGAACTTATCTAATTCTTTTCTGAACCCAGTTATGCTTTGGCCTTCAAAACATCCCCTGGCAATGAGTTCCACAGGTTGACGATGCACTGTGTAAAGAAATACTTCCTTATGTTTGTTTTAAACCTGCTGCCTATCAATTTCACTGGGTGACCCCTAGTTCTTGTGTTATGTGAAGAGGTAAATAGCACTTCCCTATTCACTTTCTCCGCACCATTCATGATTTTATAGACCTCTATCATATTCCCCTCTCCCTTAGTCATCTGTTTTCTAAACTGAACAGCCCCAGTCTTTTTAATCTCTCCTCATATGGAAGCTGTTCCATTATACCCTTAATCATTTTTGTTGCCTTCTCTGTACCATTTCCAATCCTAATATATCTTTTTTGAGATGGGGCAATCAGAACTGGGCGCAGTATTCAAGACTTATCAACCTCTGCATGTGGCCAAGTCACCACAAGAAGGGGACAAAGTGCCACACCGAGTGGGTGTGGGTTACAAAAGTAGGGTGAGCTCTACCTTAGCTTTCTTTGTCTACACTTGAGATTTGCCTCATTGCAGCTGCTACGCTTGCGGGATCAGGGATAATTGCAAATATTGGCAAGGCCTTTGCATTCCCTCCTGAAAGTGGATCCTGATGGAAGCCATCGAATGAACAAATTCATTTGGGAAAACAAAACTGCAATGCCCTGCAAAGCTAGATGTGTTAATAATCAAACTTCATTTGAATACACCAATCAGAACAGGAAGCAAGGGCCGCCCAGCGACTCATAGGTGGAGCCGGAATTGTGCTGGAGGGATCAGTAACTGCTGCCAAGGGTCGTCATTTGGGATGACTTCTCAAGGGGTTGACTGACATTTGCAAAGCTGAGTCGTGGTTTTGAATTATGCTAGGAGTTTGTGAGCAACCTCTCGGTCTGTTTGGAGCTAAAGTCTATGATGGCGTATCGCTTGTGGAACGATGTGAAGTGAGTTGCTGCCTGGCTCAAAGCAAACCACATCAGAATGGATCCGTTGCTGTGGATGGGAGATGTGGGCTTTGGGGCTAGCTTTTCAGTAGCCCAGGCAGTGTTACCTGACACCATTTAAGATATATTTTAAAAAATTTTCACTGGCCCCCTCGCAATGTTTCTGGGCACAGATACAGTGAAATTTATGTTTATGTGATTGTCATTCACTATATATTTGCAGAGTGTCTAATTCAATGAGGCAATGAAGTGACTGCCTCTTAGTGGTATCACAACATACATGTTTAATAATAATAATACATTTAGCTAAATACACAATAAGAAAGTTCTCTGAAATGCATTGACCAATAAGGATGGATTCTTGTCTAGGTTTTACTGCTCATAAATTGTTTTAAACAATATAGAGATAACTAACTAAAGTCAAATTAAATCTAAAGAAACTTAACCCCACAATCAGCTGTGTGCAGACTGTATACCCCATTTTCTGCTCATTGAGCAAACCTTGACTAAACAGATGGGTTTAATTTTTCCTATATGTTTATTTTTATTTCACTAGCTATTGAGTGAATGCATTACCATCCCATAATACTATTATTTTAGTGTATTGCAATAGCACATAGAGGCCACAGGTGGGATCAGGGCCTCATTGTGTTTGGCATCACACAATGTAAGGCCACACCCCTGCAGCTTGATCCACAAGAACAAAAGAGTCCATCTGCACGATCCGACTGCAGGATTGAGGATTAATTAATGAATAAATGTCTGAAATGTTGTACTCTGTTTGCAACAGGGTACAATAAATGCTTTCAATGAGGGAGTAGCCTGTGATAGTAGATAGACAGGCCTTAAGGTAAAGTCCTGTACAATTTAATAGGGCTGAAACCACTATGAAGCTGCAGAAATTTCACGGGGTTCTATAAAAGTAATCTGAAACCAGCATTACCAATTCTTATGAGTTTATCACGAATCTAACCATATTTGCTGCTTATCTTAAAAGTCCCAGCGCTCGGAGTCATGGGATTATGCAACAACCCTGGCTTCCATTTAAAAAAAGAGTAAATTATTAGCTGCGATGAAAACGTGATTCCCTAATCGCTCAGAAACCGGAAGGCAAGTTAAAAGACCCTCTCCCCCATGTATTACTTTAATAACATATCCTGCTTTCTAAACGCAGTTTATGGGGGTTTTTTGGCACCTGACTCGTTGTTTGGGGTTGGCAACTCTGAAAACCCTAAGACTGTAGTATGGGATGAGATCTTTCATAGGTTTTGTTGGCCCAGGCTATCAGGACCTATGGCAAAGAGTCTAGAGACGATTTTCCGTGTAATCCCATAGCATGGCTCAAAGAAGGTTTGGACAAATTGCCATAAGGGATCAGGGATTGCCCAGTGCCACTCCCAACATGACGGCTAGGAAGGGGGCGAGAGCCACTGCCACACTCAAGATGGCGGCACGACTGGGCGTCAATGCCACTCCCAACATGGCGACAAAGGACGGCGCTGAGACGCTAATGCCACTCCCAAGATGAAGGCAGGGGGCTGGCCCCGGAGAAAGAGCGGAAGTGAGGTCAGAGGTGCGCCGGAAGTGTGGGGTGATCCTGAAGCCGGAGAAGCGGCTTGTTTGAGCGGCTCGAGAGGGCGGCCCGGGCTCTGGAGGCAGCTGCTGGGGGACCATGTTCGACCCGGGACAGGTAAAGCTGCGGGAGAGGGGCAGCGGCCCGGCGCCATAGCAACCCCCGCCCGGCCCCATAGCAACCCTCTCTATCCCACTCCGCCCCCTCCTGCCTTCATCCCTCCCCACAAAGCCTCTTCCCTACGGGCCCTGCTGGCCCAGCTTCCCCCCATATCCCTCCCCCGTCCCCCTCGCAAGGCCCTGCGCTGAGTGGGCCAGGGAGGCTGAGCTCTCCCAGCCCCCACTCTCGGGTGGGGGCGGGGGCGCCGCACTGATGCCCCCTGGCTCTGGCAGGGGCCCTCGATGGCAGCCCGGCGCCTTTCTCAACGATACAATCAACATTCCCCGTGTTTCACCTCGCGGAATCCCCTTCACTGCCGACTGTTAAGAATCCGCCGAACAAACATCTGTCAGGGATGATCTCGGTTTATTTGGGCCTGTCTCAGGGCAGGGGGCTGGACTTGATGGCCTCTTCTCTTGAGACCCCTTGCAGCCCTACATGTCTAGGATTCTAGCCTCACGTGCGCCTGCTCCAGAGTTGATTTTCTCCTGTTGATGTTGTTTTGGCTTGGCTTTCTTTTGAGACCCCAGGACTGTTGTCACACTTGTTTTTGATTAGAACAAATGAAAGAACCGTGGATTAGAATGTAAAAATGAATGGAAAGTAACCTTAGATCAAAGTAGGCTAATTCTGGGGCTTGCTAGGTGATCCTTTCACTTCCATGTCAGTGCCCGGCCTGGTTATGGGTTGTTTAGTTAAACTGGAAGGGGAACTGTCTAGGATCTTACTAGTGTATGAATTCCTTCTCTGAGTTAGCAGGAATTTATAAATTGTGATCTTTGCTTCGTGCATCTTTTATCCATGAGAACTGCATAATAGCTGTTTCTGAAATGATCCTTAAAGGAGCAGTTCAGCTGTTTCAGTGCTCTAGCTGTAGTGCAGTGTGTTGGTGGGGTATTTGGCCATGTCTGTGCTGGGTATTTGTTGTCTGTACTGGCTTAAAATGTTTTCTCCCTAGTTTAGAAAATGTATGTCTAGACTTTTAAAACAGAGTCTGACCATAGGACCAAACTCATATCATATATATTTGAGCCCTTTTAAAGACAGGAGGAGAAATCCTGGCCCTCATCAAAATCAGTGGCAAAATTTACATTGATTTCAATGGGACAGGATTTCCGTGAGGGTCTTTAATAATCTAGTTTTGTTCTTATCTCTGTGTAGGCATGCTGTAAATGCCAGACACTCAGGCCTGGGAGTATCATTTTGCTACAAAATCATTCCCAATGGCTGCTGCAGTGTTGATGAGCTCTGGGATTAATAGTCTGTTAGCTGGGAATTCTTGCCACAACATGTGATCTCAAGGGAGGGAGGATAAAAAGGAAAAACAGAGGTGGAATATGGCTTTGCAATTTCTGTAGTTTCAAACGATGTAAACATCTGACATAAAATGTACAAATAAACTGAAGGCAGATGGTGGTATAAAAGATGAGGCAAAGTAAGAGGTTCTTACTTAGATCACACGTTTTGAGGGTAGGGGGAATAGAGGTGATAGGTTGCATTTCTGAAGAAGGGGGAAATCACTTTCCAAACTCCCAAGCAGGTCTTGGGCAGTACTGGGAATTAACTAGTTTAGTAACAACACCATAACAATAAACTACAAGAGCAGAATGAGCATAAAAGGGTTTTCTTCTGTTTCTAAATCAGCACTTAGAAGGAGGCTGATGAATTGTCAAAACAAGGAGAAGGCACTGCAGTATTGGCAAGGCAGTAGTGCAAAATCTGATCTAGAGGAAAGTTTGGCTCTGTAGACAGTAGTAACCAATGGCTCAATCCGTGAGGCTTAATCTGTTTCTACCTCGGCTTATTTTATAAATCCTGCTCTTCCCAGGTCTGTCTTTTCTCCTCTGTCTCTCATTAACTCCATGAGGCTTCTGAGCTGATTTGCTGCTTTTTCCTTTCAGGAGACGCTGAGTGCAGAGATTGGGGAGGACAGTAATGGCATCAACCTGATGGAGTTCTCAGATGAGATCCTTTTGCACATCCTGAGCTACGTTTCTTGCACAGACCTTGTTCTGAATGTGAGGAGAACCTGCAGAAAGCTTGCAACTCTTTGTCTTGACAAGAGTTTAACCCACACGGTGCAACTTCATAAAAAATATCAGGTGGGGAGAAGCTGGTTTTATGCCCAGATAGGGCATGGGGATTGTGGTAGGCTGCCAGAGTGCGCTGCTTCAGAGAGTATGAAGACAGACTGATTTCTCCAAGTACAAAACAAACCATAAACATAGTTATATCCTTATAGCCCTGACTTGGAGGGAAGGGGATGATTTCTCAAGAATTAGGACAGTTAGTATGGCTACTCCAGAGACCTAGTGTCACTTGGTTTAGGATGTAGTCCAGAAAGCCAATGTTACAACCACTTCTGGTTTTCCATATGGCTGTTTAAAAAAAAAAATGCTTAACTAGAATGTACAGTAGACCTATTTCAGACTGTCAGTTGTATTCCAAATCACTTAACTGGCATTTTAAAAAAAAAATCTAAATGGTATGTAACAGCCTGCAGGTGATAAACTAAAGGGATAGCAACAACTTGAAAACAAGTAGCTTTAAAAAAAGTTAAATGTAGCTTTGATCATTTCTGTCTTCCCAGGATGATGATGTTAAGATGCCATTACAATGTTTCTTATTTCTTCAGAATTTGTTTCTCTTCCTGTTAGTGAAACACCCACATGAACAGGGGGAAATGACTACACAAAGTGCTGTCAAATACACAAAGTAAACTAAAACCGACAAATGTATTTTTCGGTCTCTTGGTTATAGAAAATCTTAAGTGTTGTAATGATAGTAGGTAGTAAAAACAACTTCCAGGTAGAAGTGTGACTTTTAAGTTGACTGTCTCTCTAAGTGTAGGAAAGGGAGAAAGCATATTTCGTCTAATATGGAATGGGCTGGAAAGTGGATGAAGCAGAGAGAACAAGCAGTAGTTCCTCTGTCAACTTGAACTCTGCCACAGATGCATAATTCTGCAGACATAGGGCCTGAAGCTGAGAAGTGATGAATGCCCTCAATTCCTGTCAGTCATTGTCACTTAGCATCTGTTAGGGCCAGTCAGTAATGCAGACTCAAACTAGAAACTAAATGAAATGTAATCTTCAAGATCCTAAGTCCAAAGGGTAAAACAAACTACCAGCAGTTACAACAATATGATACTTAGTACTTTTATTGTGCATTTTACCCAGGGGTCTCAAAACACTCTAGTAGAGGGTATGTCAGATGGGAAACTGAGGCACAGAGAAATAATTAAGCATCCTCTTCAATGTTACTGAAGCGGTTTGTGTTTAAATACAGGTCAACAAGGACAAAGTGAAGCAGCTAATGAGGGGGATTGGAAAAGAGATCCACCAGCTGAACATGGCTGGCTGCTACTGGCTCCCCAGTTACACCATTGACCATGTAATACGATGCAAGAACCTGGTGAAGCTGAACTTGTCTGGCTGCCATCTCACCTCCCTCCGCCTCTCCAAGATGCTCTCTGCTCTCCAGCACTTGCGCTCACTGGCAATTGATGTCAACCCTGGTTTTGATGCCAGCCAGTTGAGCAGTGAATGTAAAGCCACACTTAGTCGTGTACTGGAGCTCAAGCAGACCCTTTACACACCGTCATATGGGGTGGTTCCATGCTGCACCAGCCTTGAGAAACTGCTGCTCTATTTTGAGATCCTAGACCGATCCCGAGAAGGCTTAATTTTGTCTGGCCAGCTGATGGTGGGTGAAAGTAACGTCCCCCACTACCAGAACCTTCGTGTCTTTTATGCTAGGTTGGCTCCTGGCTATGTCAATCAGGAGGTGGTGAGGCTGTATCTGGCAGTGCTAAGTGACCGGACCCCAGAGAATCTTCATGCCTTCCTCATTTCTGCCCCTGGCAGTTTTGCAGAGAGTGGAACCACTAAAAACCTTTTAGACTCCATGGCTCGAAATGTATGTTTGGATGCTTTGCAGTTGCCCAAGTCCTGGATTAATGGATCTGGCCTCCTTCAGCACTTGAAGTTCAACAACCCTTTCTACTTCAGCTTTAGCCGCTGCACCTTATCTGGTGGCCACCTGATCCTGCGCGTTATTAATGGAGGGAAGGACCTCAAAAGCTTGACCAGTTTGAATCTCAGTGGCTGCATTCACTGTCTGTCTTCTGACTCCTTGTTTCGGAAGGCAGAAGATGATATTGACAGCAGCATTCTGGAGAGTCTGGTTGTTTCCTGCTGCAATCTGAGACATCTGAACCTTTCTGCTGCCCACCATCACAGCTCGGAAAGCCTAGGGAAGCATTTGTGCCAGCTCCTGGCACGGCTAAAGCACCTGCTGTCTTTGGCGCTGCCGGTTTGCTCCATCACAGATGTTCCTACAAACACAGACAAGCCACCTGTGCAGTCTGTGAGTAATGTGGTGCCCCCAGGCCTTGGAAAGAAAATCCGGATTGGGGTGCCAACATATGCCAAGAACTTCTTGGAGCAGTCAAATCAGAAGTCTCAATCTTCTGTGTTTTGGACTCTATTGGAGAACCTCCCGTTTTTGAAAAACTTGGAGTTAATTGGGTCCAACTTTTCCTCTGCCATGCCCCGGAATGAGCCAGCAATTCGGAACTCACTGACCCCTTGCAGCCGGGCACGGAGCGTTGGGGATTCAGAGGTGGCTGCCATTGGCCAGTTGACCTTTTTGCAGAACCTCACTTTAGCACAGCTGCCTAATATCCTGACTGGTTCTGGGCTTGTTAGCATTGGATTGCAGTGCCAGCATCTGCGGAGTCTCTCATTAGCCAACCTGGGCATGATGGGAAAAGTGGTTTATATGTCTGCCCTCATGGACATGCTGAAGCACTGCAAGTGCTTGAGGGATCTCAGGTGAGGGCCTGTTATTGATCTCCATTTTTATTCATGCATATCTAGAAAGGTGTCTATGTGGAGGAGAGGGGGATCTTATTGGACCAACGTAAGGAGGAAAATATACTAGCTTTCAGGTCCCATGGAAGGTAGCTGTGATGGCCTGAAAATTAGAGGGTTTTCCTCCTGGATAGCAGGTTTGTGGAGGTGGGAGTGGAGTGTGTGTTCTGTATTGTCCTTGAGAAGCAGAGCTGGTCTGTATACCCTCAAGCCCCTGTGGCCTCCAAAGAGGACATATTCCTAAGACTCTCTCTTGGCAGTGCAGAGCATTGCAAGTTAACATGTTAGTCTACAAAGAGCTATCTCCTCTCTCCTGATCTCTTATCAGACCTCTGCTTAGCTTTCTTAACTGGTGATTGCTCTATGATAATGCAGAACATTTACCCTCCAAAAGCTCTATTCATGGCTGCTTCTGAATTGGCCTTTCTCCATAGAGTCTAAATGCTTTAACTCTCACAAACGAAGGTAGCATGATTCATCCAGATACATAAAGAAACCTCAACTATAGCTAAATAACAGTGATGGAAATGACATGGTGTAAATTCTGTAAACATTCTCACCACAGGTTTCTTCATGAGCTCTGAAGATGGCACTTAGGTCAATAGAACTGTTTATTTTTAAAACATCTTTGTGTTGGTGAAAGCTGCTGGATTCAAAGCTCTGACTGACATCTTCTGTCCATGGCAGGTGCAGCATGGGCGGTGGCAGTAGAAGCCAGGAGAGCAATTTAGCCTTTGGCTTTGTCTACACGAGGGACTTTTGCTGGCACAGCTATGTTGGACAGTGGTGTGATCGCCGACCAACGTAGCTATGTCAGCAAAAACCCCTAGCGCAGATGCAGTTATACTGCCAAAGCTGTGCTTTTACTGATATAGCTTGTTTCACTTGGGGGTCGGTTTTATGCCAGCACAAAGCACAACTTTGTCATTATAGCTGTGTCCACACTAGGAGCGTTTTGTCAGTCTAGTATACTGGTGTTCTTATACTGGTAAAGGGCTTCTCGTGTAGACCTGGCCTTTGAGAGGCTAAACATCTTCAAAAAGAGCTAGTTACATAGCAAGACTAATCTTTGGAGAAAACAATTTGATGTGCAGTGGTGGTTTCCATTTGGCCAGGCCCAGAGAACTTTGCATCCAGGAACTATGGTATGCCTTGTCCTCAGGAGTGCCCAGTCTGTGGTGGAGAGGATGTGTACAGCTTCCCACAAAGGAAAAGCCCACATGTCTCCCATGGTAGTAGCATAAGAGCACTCTGCTTAAGGTGTCATAACTTTCCAAATGGAGTTGGGGAAGGTTTTATCTGGAGGAGTTGCTCAACATTTAAAACCTGTCAATAAAGTTGTTAGTTGAAAACCGGATTGGGTGTCATTTGGCTAATTCCACCATCCTCAAGAATTTTCTGCAAGCCTAGAAATTAATTTCAGGTGATGTTACAAAGCAGCAGTGTCACCTAGTGAATAAAATAGAGTATTACTAGCGTGCATTTGCCCGCCACTTCCCCTACCCATGTTTGGAAGTTATTAACCCAGAAAATGGGAGCCAGTGTGTCTTTGTGTCAGATTCATGTTAGGATGATGACATATTGTGAAAAATCAGGCAGGTTTCTGATTTTCAGTTAACGCAACTGGAAAATTGAGTATAATGCAGGATCTTAAGTGACAACCAGGTATTGCTCACCTCTACGGTGAATTGCTGGGTAGCTGTCAAATAAAAACACCATCCCACAAGCTTCCTTACTGCCAGAAAGTTCTGGACTGGCAAAACATGACGTAACAATTATCAGGATGAAGAGTTGCTCAGGTACGCCCCCATACCACAAAAGGCTAGATAGAGATTATCCAGTCCAGGGTGGGATTGCCTGCTGGTTGTCATCTAATGGATTACACGTCTCCAAGCTCCTGGCTCTGCAGACCCAATGACTGAGTCTCATAACTGCTTTGAGATCCTTCTAGCAAACCTGGACTGAGCAGCCATACCTTCCTGGTGACACTGACCTTTTGCAGTGGAGATACTTTCTGTAAAATGGTTGTTTGGACATGCAGAATCTGGTTAGGCTGCGAGTTACAGCATGGAAGCTGATAGCTTCCAGAAACTTCCGTAAGGGAGGGGGAGGTGTTTAGTACTTTCCACTGTGAATTTTCAAATTGACACATTCCTTTCTGAAGTGGTCCATGTGCTGCAGACTGACTGTCAGATTCCTTTACTTAATCAAATCCAGACCAGCTCTTTGGCCCATGTGAAATATAGGAGAGGTTGCATAGAATCATGTGCTGACAGATTCTTCTCTGACGCCCCCCCCTTCTTTCTCCATCTCCTCTCCATTGACTTTTCAGGGCTTGAAGATGTTCAGCCTGGTGGCTCAAAAGCAGGGTTACCATACGTCCGGATTTTCCTGGACATGTCCGTCTTTTTGGTCCTCAAATCCCCGTCCGGGAGGAAATTCCAAAAAGCCGGGCATGTCCGGGAAAATAGGGAGGGGTCGTGGGGCTTGGATCCGGGCTGGGGCAGGAGCTGGGGCCGGCGGTGCTCAGCCGCCGGCCAGCACCGCTCGGCCAGGGCCGGAACCGGGGCCCGGGCCGGGCCAGAGCCGCTGGGACCGAGGCTGGGGGTGCTCGGCCAGCGCTGCTCGCCCAGGGCCGGGGCCAGGCCGGAGCCGCTTGGCCGGAACCGGGGCCTGGGCCGGAGCCGCTGGGACCGGGGTTGGGGTGCTCAGCCGGCGCTGCTCGGCCGGGGCCAGTGCCCCGGGGCCCGAGCCGAGCTGGAGTCGCCCGGGCTGGGGTGGGCCAGAGCTGCTCGGCCGGAACCGGGGCCAGAGCCGCTCGGCTGGGGGGGCTGGACTGGGCCGCGCCTCCTCTCGCCCCCCAGCTTACCTGCTGCCTGCCTGTTTCAGGCTTACCGCGAACATTTGATTCGCGGGAAGCAGGGGAGGGAGAGGAGCAGGGGGGGCGGAGCGTTCAGGGGAGGGGGCAGAGTTGGGGCAGGGACTTTGGGGAAGGGGCGGAGTTGGGGTGGGGCCGGGGCGGGGAAGGGGTGGAGGTGGGGCGGGGCCGGAGTTGGGGCGGGGCCTCTTTTTGTTTTTTTTAAATATGGTAACCCTAACTAGGTCTCCATCAGTGTCTGTTGTGAATCAGTTTTTCCTACTTGGTTCGCTCTGCCTGGAGTCTTACCATCCTCTAGGCAACAAGCTCAATGTGACTAGCTTGCTCAGCATTTGGTCCGCTGGAGCAGCAAGGCCCCATTGTCTATACCAGCTATTAGCCTTCTGACCAGATGCCAAGTAGCCAAGTCTGGGCCTGCCTCAGTCACTGTTTGCTGATGTCATGTAAACTGCTCATTGCTGAAGGGTAGCACTCTGTAAGCAAGAGGGCTGAGATTGGAATATCACCTTTGCTATGGTGCTCCCACTCAGACATGAGACTATCATGTGCATTGTGTATATAGATAGTGCTAGACCACTCCTGATCTCTGAATGCACCAGCTGTTTTCAAGTGGGGGCAACACATGGCTAAATTGGAGACACTCGTTGCACCATTCACAGCCCCATACGAATGCTGCATCCCCCACTTGTTTTAAAGCAGCAGGCTTAAAATTCATCCTCTGACTTGTTTGTGTTTTTCTTGCAGGCTAGAGCAGCCGTACTTCAGTGCTAACACCCAGTTCTTCCAGGCACTGAGTCATTGTTCTTCTCTCCAGCGCCTTTGTGTCATCTCCCGGAGTGGAACTCTGCAGTTTGATGCAGTGATGTCATTCATGGCCAACTGCCTTGAGGTTGTCATGTGCCACATGTTTATGGGAGAATCTCTCACAATTTGCAAAAATCTTCAGCAGACCATTTTACGGAGGTGAGTAAGAAAGGGGCTGAGGTGGGATTTCTGGGGCTGTTCAGGATTTATCCCCATTGCCTTTCCCTCCAGCTTTTATATGGGCCAGGTGTGGGAGCATTGTGTAGTGTTCTCATGGCCTTTTAGCATGCTAAGAAGCTGACAGGTGAAATTTAACTTCTTGGCACAAAGGATGGCCTCTTATTTTAATAAGAGCCATTCAATGAGCTACTTGTAAGTATTCTGTAAGGTTTTTTTAATCCCCTTGTCCCATCATGATTGATTTGAAGCTTCAATCATACAGTCACATGATAAATCAAGTGACAATTTCATGTAAACAAAAAAACATCTGGCAGCATTTTAAGTACTGAAGATGTCCGAATTTGAGCCTTTCCTCCTTCCCCACAAATAGCTACAGCTCATTCACCGACCACTAATCCCTTGTGAATGTCGCTTACTGATAGTGCCCCAGTAGAGCAGTTCAAAGCCTTCTGATTGGCTAAGAGGGGTTCTTTTTGGTGTAGCCTTTGCATGTTTGGCAGTTCTTAAATAAGTCTTGTCTAGCCCCTTGCAGTGTCCTGAAGCTCACATGGTGGGAAGCGTTTGTGTGTGAACCGTGAACTCCTTTTGAAAATAAAGCTTTTAATTACACTTGGCATGGTGGCAGCCATCTCACAAAATATTTCCCATTCAACAGAGACTTCACACTATTTTTTTTCCCTTTTCTTAAGGCATTTGGTGTGTTTTCTTAGTCACCTACTGTGGCTTTCCTCTATTACATTTTAATAATCAAATCAAATGACATTATTATTGCATCCTAGATGGTAGTTCTACCCCAGCCCTTCCCCAGCTTCAGGCTTGTTTTCTAGGATTAAATCCAGCAGAGGCTATGACTGTATTATCTACCTAGCAAACTATGTACAAGACTGCTTATTACTGCCTCTAGGAGCATGCCTGTTCCTTTGGGATAGTAGCTATTGGAAAACATACCAACATCTGAGTAAATAAAGTCCCTGAGATGTGTCAACCGTTTTTTGTTTTACTGGGCTGTCATCTCCGTAAAAGCATTTCTTTATCTAATTCATTTGTGTGCCATGGGGATCTTTAGAAAGATCCAAAAATCCCCTGTCCGCTTTTCTCCTTCTACATGCCTGTTCGAGATGTCATTGCAGTGCTGGCCAGAATTTTAATATCGTTTTATTATGCAGAGCTATGCTATTCCTCACCCGTATTGCAGATCTCCTTCTCCTCCTCTTTTCTATGCTACATATCACTTTTGTAAATTCTGTGTCTCTTTATATTTGAACTCCCAGTAATTTTCCAAAGAGCAGCTGATGCCTTGTGGAAAATGCTGAAAACTGTCTTATATTTAGAAACAATTCTGCCTGTCATATTATTCTTCTTCCCTTGTGTTTTATTAATAGGGATGTTTGTATGAAAACAGGATCTTTGGGGGTATTTTAAAGAGAGCATCTGCTCCTGCTGTTAATTCCCCACCTGAAGTCATAATCCTCTGACACTGTAATTGGTGGCTCTGGAAACGATTTTGATGTCACGTAAGATTATGACTTCAGGAAGAGGATAAGCAGCAGGAGCAGATGCTCTCCTAAGCAACAAAGATCCTGTTCTCGTGCAACTGTCTCTAGTAATAAAATACAAGGAAAGAAATACAGAAAATGATGTGTAAGCAGAACACGAAAGCTTCCATGCCACATCAGCGAGTCTTTAACCATGTGACTTTTCCAGCGTTACCATTTTAGTCCTTGTACAAATATGCCTTCAAATGGGGTCAATAATTGACTCTCTTGACTGTGGTTTATCTGCAACTGCAAGGGTAAAAAGATATGCAGTAAAATTGAGAAGAGATTATTTTTGCTAGCTAGTTCATTGCTAGGTCTTCGGATGAGAATTGTAGTTTGCACAGTGTAGCTCTTTAGTATGCTGGTATTGTACCCCCAAATCCAACAATCTAATACCACAGAAAACACCCAGCAAATATGAGATTAAAATAGCTTTATTCCAGAGTAAGAAAACAGTGATTTTTGCTTTGGAAATGATTTCTATGGGCTCTGTGTAAGGCCAGAAAACGTGAAGGGCTAGTGTGTGTGGGGACGGGGCGGGGACTCTCAAAGCTGAACATTTCTTTGTTTTCTTCCCTCCCTCGGAGCCATGTGGGAGTACATCGGGACTTTCTCTGTCACTGCTATGGACTAGATGATTTGGTTTAGATTCTGGAGGGTCCTGGGGATGGCTAGTTTTGAATGGGGAGGTGCACCTTAAGTGAGATTAATTGTCGTTTTAAAGCAGGGGTGGGCAAACTTTTTGGCCTGAGGGCCACATCTGGGTATAGACATTGTATGGCGGGCCATGAATGCTCATGAAATTGGGGGTTGGGGTGCGGGGGGGAGGGGGATGAGAGCTCTGGCTGGGGGAGTGGGCTCTGGGCTGGGGATGAGGCATTTGGGGTGCAGTAGGGTGCTCCAGGCTGGGACTGAGGGGTTTGGAGGGTGGGAGGGAAATTGGGGGTGGGGCATAGGAGGGGTTGAGGGCTCCGGCTGTGGGTGCAGGCACTGGGGTAGGCTGGGGGATGAGGAGCTTGGGGTGCAGGAGGGTGCTCCGGGCTGGGACCAAGGGGTTCGAAGGGTGGGAGGGGAATCAGGGCTGGGGAAAGGGGCTGGGTCGGGGGGGCTCGGGTGCAGGCTCTGGGCGGTGCTTACCTCAAGGAGCTCCCGGAAGCAGTGGCATGTCCCCCCTGTCCGGCTCCTACGCGGAGGTGCTGTCAGGCAGCTCTGTGTGCTGTCCCACCTGCAGGCGCCGCCCCTACAGCTTCCATTGGCCCCAGTTCCCGGCCAAAGGAATTCATGGAGTTCCCGGCCAATGGGAGCTGTAGGGGGCGGCGCTTGGGGCAAGGGCAGCATGCAGAGCCCCCTGGTTGCCGCTATGCATAGAAGCCAGAGGAGGGACATGCCGCTGCTTCTGGGAGCCACGCGGAAGGTCCCCGACCCCACTTACCGGCTGGAGTGCCGGAACCCTGGCGGGAGCTCAAGGGCCAGATTAAAAGTTCTGATGGGCCAGATGCGGCCCGCGGGCCGTAGTTTGCCCACCCCTGTTTTAAAGGGATTTGGAGAATTGAAGGGCGACTCTGGAAAAGCTTACTATTAAAGATGCAGAGGTGCTCTTGCTGAAGCCTTTAGCGTTTGGAGTGTTCAAAAACATGGTGTAGAGCAGTGATATTCGAACGCTGGTCCGTGAAGGGACTCATGCTGGTGATCCGGGGAGAGCGGACTGGCCACATGGTGCTGTTTCTCTCTCCAGCTGTTGAGTGACATTAGAAGAAGCTGAAAGTACATTATTTTTCTAATACTATTTTTCCATGTAGGTAATTGCTGCAGCCTTCACAGGGATGTTGATTGACTGTCAGCAGGAGGGGAGGTGGCCCATAATCATAAAGAGGAAGGTTGGTGTTTAGGAGACACTGTTGAAATGTCCAAAGTTTGAGAATTCTTGTCTGGTAGATGGAGCACAGGGGGAGCGGAGGCAGGAACTCTGGTGTTTCAATACCAGCTTGGTGTATTGCCTTGCTTTCAGTCCTCAATTAATTCTCTTCAACTTTCTCCTCATCTGTAAAATGGGGATCATATTTGTGCCTAACTCGCTGATTGGCCCAGAAGTTGGATAGAGATGAAGAGGTTGATAATTGTATCCTTTTGGTCTTGTGGCTACTATAGGCAAGAAGCTGCATAGGTCCAGCTTTTCATGGAATTCATTCTATGGTAAGATTCCTGGATTCTGCCGCACTGTGATGTGGGCTGGGAGTTCTCCAACAGGATCATCTCATTGTCTTAAGTGTAGGCTTTTAACAAATGGATTTTCACATTGAAATCAGTGCAGTACCCTCTCTGCATGCATTGGTATTAAATTCTATTTTATGTCCCAACATCTTTGATGCGCTAGAGGCGTTCATATGAACAGCACAGTTGTAACATAAAAGTTGCAGGGGTGAAGCTGGGTTTCCTGGCAGTTGGGTTTTTTGTCATTAGTTGAGAAGTAAGAGGTATTACAGTAATTGGATGCTTATGTTATAATGATTAGTGAAATAGCGAACAACGTTGAAACTTAAATTATTGTCAGTCATAAGATGATTTGGGCAGTTCGCACCTCTCAGAGCTATTGTGTCAGGCTGTCTACAGAGTCAAGAAGAGATCGCTGCCTCAGTTTACACTTGCTTCATGTTTTCAAGGTTTTCTTCCCATCATAAGGGGTAGAAACCATTTTTATTTTAAACAAAAACTTCAATTTTGGAGCACCGCTCTGTGGTAGGGGGTGTCTTTCATGGCTGTGGAATATATTGCGTCCTGACTCTTGACAACTTTATAACTGGAAGGCTTTGTGTAAAGGTTGGCTTGTAGCCAGCTTCAGAAATATAGTTGTCCCAGTTGGTAGCTGAGTATTAATGGTCTCTGTGCATGTAGTTTATTTCAGTCTCTAAGGTAGATGCATATTTTTGAGCTTTTAAACGTTGGTATGTTTGTGGTATTTGGTTCTAGCTTCCCTCGCCTGTTTGCTATACATGTATTGGCTGTGGTGGTCACCTTTTCCTCCAGATGCCTCTGATATAATTTTGTGTCCACTGCACTGGCACACAGTAGAGATTGTAGAACTGATATGGAGCCCTCCCCTGATAGTTCAGCGAACAGGATGACAAGGCCACATTCCCCTCTGAACTGCAGAGGAGACTAATTACTTCACTGTAAGCAAATATGTTTCTTGGCATTTAGGGGGGAGGGGAGAGGTGTTCTATCATTCACTTTTCATGTTGCCCAAGCACACACGAGTCCCTCTTAGGAAAGGAAGGAATTAGAGCATTAATCTGGGACTTGGGAAACCCAAATTCGGTTCCCTGTGCTGCCACAGACTTCCGATGTGTCCTTGGACAAATCACTTAGTATCTCTGTGTCTCTGTTCCCCATCTGTGAAACTGGGATAGTGGCTTTGCCTTACCTCATGGAAAGTTGTGAGAA